CGGCCGCGTGCCCTGAGTGCCACTTCTCTGACCATGCCCCTTCCTCGCTGCCTTTCCCTGACCATGGGGACGCACCAGCCTCAGCCCCCGCCTCGCCCCAGGCATGTTTTTGTAATTGCCAGACGGCGTGTGCTCCCCGCAGACGGGAGAACGCTCCCCTGGGCGTGGTCAGGCCACGGCCCCTCTCCTCCATCTCGGTGCCGTCAGGACTTGGGGCACACGCACACACCCTGAGTGTCTCAGCCCACCACGGCCTGGAGCGCAGGCGGCCACGGGGGGCCCAGCTCCCTGGACACTAGGCTGTGGGGCCGGGCCAGTTTGGGTTTTATTCTGGGGCTCTGCGCTGTCTCCTGCACCACCTGCATCAGGGCCTCCCGTGGGGCCTCCCTCAAGGCTGTGCCCTAGGGTCTCAGTGGGTGTCGAGTCCAGCCCTTGGACATCAAGTCACCCTTACAGAGCACAGGGACCAGGGACCGGCAGCTGGCGTACTGGCTATGTCGCTGGACTCCCATGTAGTCGGCTGTGGTTCAAGTCCCGGACCCAGTGGCTTAAACTCACGCCAGGTGCATGTGTGTGCGTGCCCAAGATCCCGAGAGGAGAATGGAAGAGAAGGGATTGCGGCGTGGCCATCCCCCCTGGGGGTGATTTCTCGCTTTCTGTCTCTCTGTCTCTCTGTCTGCGTGCCCACACAGCATCACAGGGCAGGGCCGGTCCTAGACGTGCGTCTGGAGCCCTCCTGCCATGCACCCACACACGCGTGCCCGTGACCTGGGCAGGCCAGGGTGTCGGGACCCTGCTGGGACGCTGTCTCTCTGTCTCTCATTCATGGAGTTGCTGGAGGATTCATGCTCTGTCTGGAGGAGAGTGAGAAGGCCCCGGGGGCAGGGCGCCACCGTCCTCCGTGTGCTGTCAGCACGTGTGTAAGCACAGGGGTGCGTGTGACGGCGGAGCCACCCCCACGGGGACCGCTCACGCCGTGACCCCCTTCCTCCAGGCCTTTGGTCTCGGCACTCATGCGCATGCCCAGAGCCCCAGGCTGCCCAGGCGGGGATTGAACCCTCCCGTGTGGGCCCGGCCTCTCCCGAGCAGCTGGTCACTGCAGGCCAGCGTCAGCCTCTCCTCCTCCTTTTTGTTTGTTTTTTGGAGAGGTTTCTGCTACAGGGCACGTGCGCTCACTCAGAAAGACAGAGAGAGACAGAGAGACAGAAAGTGAGAAATCACCGCCCGGGGGGATGGCCACGCCGCAGTCCCTTCCCCTCCATTCTCCCACTGGGATCTTGGGCACACACGCACACGCGCCCGGCGTGAGTTTAAGCCACCGAGTCCAGGACTCGAACCACAGTCGACTACGTGGGAGTCCAGTGATACAGCCATTACGCCAGCTGCTGGTCCCAGCCTTTCCTTCTGTGTTTCTTCTAAGTTTATTTCACCTGCTGGCAGGAGACAGATGGCCCCTGCAACAGGGTCTGGGCGCCCACCCCACCCTGCCCCAGCGGGCCTGTCCCCGCACATACCCCAGGCCCAGGCCTGCCGCGAGGCCTGTGAGCCAGATCCCAGCGTGGCCGGCTGGCGGCGTGCGTGTCACACGGCCCCTCGGGTTTCTTACAGCCGCGTGTGAAACTGGCTTTCTCAAGACGTTTTTATAAAAGCCACTTACAAACCCACCCCTTGGAGACGCAGTTGAAGTGCCAGTTCCAGGGAGACCTCGGGGAGAAAGCCAATCTAAGAAGCAATCTCTGCTCATTTCCCGAACCGCCTGACCGTGGCGGCCTGGAGCAGCCTCCCCTTGCTGTGGAGAGGCGATCTCCATCCCGAATCTGGAGCGGATCTCCCCGGTGTCTGACCCAGAAACCTGAGCCCACTCCCTCCCGTTGCTGGGCTCGCTCTGCCCTCCTGGGGAGCCGCTTCTCTGTGTGACTGCATCACTGCATGCGGAGCCCCGCCTCTGCAGCCCCAGAACCAGGCTCTCCTGGCGGGGGAAGAGGCCCTGCTCTGCACTGCCCTGGAAAGGCCAGGGCCACGCGGGTGACCATCTGCCCGTGCACCCTCGTGGGGACTCAGACCAGCTTCCTCCTCTGGCCAGGCCCCTCTGCTCCCTGCAGCCAGGCCAGGGGGGCCAGCAGCACCAGGACAGATGCCCTGTCCCCACCCATCCCCGTAGGAGTCAGTGGCCATGGAGGGCCCCGGGGGAGGGCCCGTGCCCCGGCTGGCTGCCCCAAGTCTCCCCGCGGGCATTGTGAGCACCGGTGCTCCCACACTGGCAACGTGCCCTCCGCAGTGGCCCCCAGCCCCCGAGCAGGGCGGCCCTCGGCCTGGGCGTCAGCCCGTCACCTTCCCTGGTGGACTTGTGTGTGTCCGTCCCAGTCAGCCTCGCTGTGCAGGAGCCCTCCATGAGATGGCGCAGGTTGCAGAGGGGCCTCCCAGGGTTCCCCGTGCCGACCCCACTTGGCGCCACCACCCACAGCCTCTGACGTCCCCGCGCCTCACCCTGCAGCTTGTCTTTGCTGGGACGGGCGGTTCTGCTCTCTGTGGAGCCTGAGCTGGGGCAGGGACGAGGCCTCCCGGCCCCGCCGGCCCCCGGGCCCCCTTGGCCCCCTCGGGCTGCAGCCTGACCGTCGGGGGCTGCAGGCAGGTGACCAGCAGGCAGGGCGAGAGTCTCAGCCAGGCGCCAGGCAGCCTCCAGCAGGCACTCTGCACTCGGGCCTTGCGTCCAGCACGAGCCGCTTCGGGTGCCAGGGCCTGGGCAGCAGTGCTGCGGCCCCGCCCTGAGAAACGTGCCCTGCCCTGCAGGTGGAGTTTGAGGACGGGTCCCAGCTGACGGTGAAGCGTGGTGACATCTTCACCCTGGAGGAGGAGCTCCCCAAGCGGGTCCGGTCACGGCTGGTGAGTGTCTGGGAGGCCTCGGCCTGGGCCCATCACCCCCCAGAGGTGGACGTGTGACTGCCGCTGTCGTCAGCCCAGCTGACCCCGCCGCTGGTGCGTTGTGAGCACTTGACGCTGCTTGCCATGGCCGCACCCCAGAGCACGGTGCCCGGCGTCCCGGCCGGCAGCTAACCCGTGTGCTCGCCGACTTGACCCTACCGAAGGGGCGCGCTGAGCGTGGAGGCTGTGGGCAGCCCCCCGCTGCCGTGGCCTTTCTCTCTGTGTCTGCGAAGGTGGGGTTCAGATGAGGAACGCCCCCGCCCAAGGCCCAGGAGAGGCGAGGCCTGAGGGTGCGCCCGTCCCTGGGTGGCGGCAGGTCTCCAGGTGCACAGGTCGTCCGGGGTTAGGGCCGCGGCTGGCAGACACGCACCCCGCCCACCCACGGCTGCCGTGCGTGCAGTCGGTCTCGGGGGCCTCACGTGGAGCTGCACTAACCACTGTGCTTCTGGTCTCCGCAGTCGCTCAGCACGGGGGCGCCGCAGGAGCCCGCCCTCTCAGGAGAGGACGCCAAGGCCGCCAAGCGCCCTCGGGTGGGCACCCCTGTGGCCACTGAGGACTCGGGGCGGAACCCGGACTACCTGGCCTTCGTGGACAGCCTCCTGCAGGCGCAGGGCCGGCCCGGAGCGTCCTTCTAAGGCCCCTCGGCCCAGCCAGGCAGGCCACGGCGGGCCCGGGCGATTGCTTGCTGTGAATTCCTGTCCTCGCCTCCCGGCCCAAGAGGCTACCTCCACGCCGCCACGGCGCCCTCCCCGGGCGGCAGGAGCAGCAGGAGCCGGCCCGCGGCCCGGACTCAGGGAGCAGGCTGGGCGGCCGGGCGGCTGGGCGGCCGGGGCTCGCGCCTCACCTCCTCGGATTTTTAAACCATGTAAGCTTCTGTTCTCGAAAAGGTGCTACTGCGTCGCGGACCGAGCAGCGTGGGGACCGTGACTTCTGTACATACGTCACCTTTGTGAGGCTCTTTCTATAAATACATGTTGTTTAAAAAAAAGCAAGAAAAAAGGAAAACAAAGAAAAGCAAAAAATCCCCAAAGTTGTTTTCTAGATTTGTGGCTTTAAAAACAAAGCAAAACAAAACCAACAGGTTCTTTCTCAGAACCAAGATGCGCTGAGATGAAAGCATCTCATTTTTTGTTTGTTGCTGTTTTAAAATCTTGTTTGTCTATTGAGCGGGCAGGGACAGAAGCAGGCGGTGGCTGGAGGTGACGTGGTGGCTGTCAGGAGACCCGGCGGCTGCCTGGACTCTCCGTCGCCGGCCAGCAACCCGCGGCGTTGCTGATGGTCTTCCTCAAGCCTGAATCTCGCTCGCAGACGCCCCGAGGTCCAGGCGGCCACCACCACCTCTGGCCACCACCAGCTCTGGTCCCCTCTCAGCTGCGGCAGAAGGCGGCCCGCCGGTCCCCTCTCAGCTGCGGCAGAAGGCGGCCAGTTCTGGGCGGTGACCCCGTGTGTGGGCAGCGAACTCCGCGGGGCCCTGGCCTCCTTGCCCTGCACGCGCCCTGTGAAATGCACGCTCTCCGGTCTTCTCCATCCTGGCCTCCTCCCCAGGGCGCCATCGGCCACACCGAGGTGGCAGTGCTCCTTCCAGGCGCCGGGAGAGGGTGGCCCCTCAGTGCCGTGGGTGCCCCCGTCTCCGGGAAAGATGAGGCCGGCGAGGCCGGGGGCCCGGGGCGTCGTCATCCTCTGTCCCTGCCCTCCCGTGTCCTCTAGGACGTGAGGATTCGGGGCTCCCCTGGGCAGGGAGTCCTTGCTTTCATCTTGACGGCATGGGTTGAATGGGTGAGAAAAACATGCTTTTCAGGAGGGAGGGGCGCGGCCCCAGCCCAGCAGCGTCCCTTCCTGGGAAGGGACGGTGTTCCTGAGAGGCCTGACAGCTGCCAGGCTGGAGCGCAGGGAGGTGGAGAGGGTGCAGGCCTGGGAACCTGGCCTCCGTGGCAGGGTCTGGTGGGCTTCCCGGATGTGGGGGCTCCCTAGGCATGCCGCGGCCGCCCCACGCTGCCCTCACGGTGTTCATATGTAGTTCGGAAATGCTATTTATATTGTAAAGAGAATGAAATGAAGCAGGCCCCCGCCGTCGGCCCCAGGCCCCGGGGAGGGGCGGCCGGCCCATGGCACGGCGTCTCCAGTGCCCGTGGGTGCCAGCGTCCCAGAAACACCGCTTCCCCAAGGGTGTCTCGGCGCAGAGCGAACACACGGAGCCCTGCCCCGCTGCCCCCGAGATCACGGACGCGCTGTATTTTTGCCTAACCCTGCCTCTAGGTCCATCATGAATTAAAGGCTGTGAACACTGCGAAGCCGTGTCCTCGCAGGTGTCTTCTTTTCTCCCGGCGGGAGGGCTGCAGGGCGCGCTCCTCGGCAGATGTGGGGCCTCCGGTGGTGGGCGGGGCCCCGTGCGCGTTGGGGGGCCGAGGCTCCCAGGGCAGGACGTCCCCGGGGGGTTCCACACCCACCCCCTACTGTCCAGATGGGGTAGGGGTGGCAGCACGGCCCCCGTGTCCCTCTCCCCTCCCGGCGACGACACGGTTCTGGTGACATCTGAGCCCTGGAGCTTTGTGTATGGTGGGGCTGGGAGTGGGGTCTCGTGACCCTCAGGAGGCTGAGCTCCGACAGCACCCAGAATGCCCCAGGCCCTGCGGTGGCCCTGGGGACCTGGCCCCAGCAGCCCCTGCGGGGCGAGGCAGCTAGATGGAGTGTCAGGGCAGTCGGTAGTGCGTGCTGCTGGGGGTTGCCGTTGCCCCGGAAACGGGTTTGCGAGGGAGCCCCGGGGACGCAGACACAGACGGAAGAACAGCGGAGCAGAGGCCTGGGGCCGCCCGCCTGGCATGCATGGGGAGAGCAGAGCAGGGCACTGGAGGGCGGGGAGGCTGGTGGGCTGCAGCAGGACCCGGCCTTGAGCCGAGGGAAGTGGGAGCCCTAGAGGATCGCCCTGACCCGCTCACAGGCCAGGCCGAACAGCCGCGGTTTGGCGACAGGGTAGGAGCTGGGGGCACCCAGGGGCCACCCGAAGGCCGTTGCTCCTGGAAGCAGTGGGTCAGGTTCAAACACAGGATCTCTGAGAAGCCGTGGCCCGGAAGCTTCGGAGTTGCCAGCACAGTGGTGGGTCCCGAGGGCATGTCCCCAGCAGGGAGCAGAACGCAGAGCGGGTGGGCCCAGCACGAGGCCCCAAGGCCATGTTCGGAGGGCCTTCCGGGGGCTTGACTTCCCGAGCAGCCTGGACTGAGGTCCTCCCGCCGCCCGGCTGTCGGGCAGCGGTTCCCTCACGAGACTTCAGCCGCTGGCCTCCTAGCCCTCGGTCTCCGGGACCACCCTCCCCTTTGCTGGGGCTGCCAGAGGTCGTGTGCCTGCAGTCACGCCACGGTCCCTTCTCCAGTCCCTCCTGTTGGGGTCTGGACACTCACACACGCACACACACACACGCACGCGCACGCACACACACGCACGCACACACACACACACACGCCCAGCGTTCCCTAGGACACACACACACACGCACACACGCCCAGGGTTCCCTTAAGCCACACCACCACCCCCCCCCCGCGCGCCCACGCACACACACACACACACACACACTCACACACACACACGCCCAGCGTTCCCTAGGACACACACGCACACACACACACGCCCAGGGTTCCCCAGGACACACACACACAGGTGCCCAGCATTCCCCAGGCCAAGGTTCCAGCCACCGTCAGCCCTCGCCTCGACCACCAGGCCGCAGGCCTGCTCTCCGTCCTCCTGCGGTCATGGAGCCGCGTCCCCTGCCCCAGCACTTGTCGCCCTCCTTGGGGCCCGGCAGCTGGGGGACAGTCTGCACTTGACATACAAGCCCCGGCCCCCCGCTCAGGGCTCGAACCCCTGCGTGCCCCCACCCACCCGGCACCCCTACCACCTCCGGGCAGCGCCATGGGTGTGTCCGCTGTGCAGCTCTGCACTCGGCCCGCCCACGCCCACGGCCTTCACAGTGGCTGTGCTGAAGTCTCTGCATGCCGCCCCCTCCCCTCACGGCCAGCCCCAGAGCCTGCCCTTCCGGACACTCCTCCCACCCACCTGCCCGCCTGCCGCCCAGTCCCAGCACAGGGCCGGTCAGCAGAGGTGTCCGCGTCGCCCTGGCCCGAAGCCAGAACAGAAAGCTGGTCCCAGGGACGCCAGCCAGCGTTGGTCACAGCGAGGTTTGCTCAGCGCCTGGGCCCTGTTAACGGACAGAGTAAGAGTTAGGTGCTGCCATGCTGCCCCGAGGGGTGACAGGGTGGCCGCGCGGCAGGGCTTGGGACACTGAGTGTCCTCGCACCAGCCCCTCCCTGCTCAGCCTGCTAGCCACAGCCACGGGGAAAGGGCCAGGGACGGCAACAGAGGGTGGGAGACGGGACAGACAGCCCTGCCCGCCAGCTCTGCTCAACACAGAGGCCCAGGTGCTGGGTCCCCACAGGGCCTTCCACACGGTCTCTGCAACACCCTCCCTTCCCCAGGCCCCAGCACCGCCTGCTCCGTCTCATTCGGGGTTGCCGTGAGAACCCCGGGGTTGGGGTTGGTGTTGCTCAAGCCACTGGGGCTGGGATTCGAACCACAGTCACCGTGTGGGACCCGATCCCTTAACACTAGGGTAAGGTAACCCCGGTGACTTGAGCCAGGGCTTCTGTGAGGCCCATAGTGGGGGCCCAGAACCCCCACCTGGCTTCCCTGGAGTCCCCTGCAATCCGGTCTGTCAGCCCCACCGCAGAACTGCCAGAACTGTGTTACCTTGCCCCGGTTCGGGAGGGGCAAACACATCCGGTCGAGGGCCAGCAGCTGGCATGGGGCCATGTCCCTTCCCCACCATCCTCCTCTCCAGATTTGGACAAGCACACACACACACACACGCACACACGCACACACCCGGCGTGGTTTTCAAGTTACTGAGTCCAGGACTCAACCCATGGAGTCTGACACGTGGATCCAGCCCCTTAACCTCCACACCACCGTCTGGCCCCAGTTTGTGTGTGGTTGTTTTTTAGGTTTTTATTTATTTATTTATTTTCAAGAATTATGTTATTTAACTTCATTTATTTATTTTAATTTGACCAGAGAGGGTCAGAGAGAGAGAGAGAGGGAAAGCAAGAAAGCAAGCCACCAGGTCTGGGACTCGAACCACAGTCGGCCATGTAGGAGTCCAGTGCCCTAATCACCACGCCACCTGCCGGCCCCAGTTTGCATTTTTATAGTGACTTTTCTTCTGAGCCCAGCAAAGACCCTGTGAGGTGGGTCTTGTGAAGCTCAGGACGGGGGGAGGTAAACCCCCGTGGTCAAGGCCCCGCGGGGTTCAGACCCCGTAACTACTCAGCCTGGCTCCCCTCAGTGCTGTCACGGCGAGGCGCCCTCGCCCTCGCCCTCGCCCTCGCCCTCTGTGTGCACGTGCTCACTGCAGACACGCACGCAGGACACCTGTGCACGCGGACAACGCTTTCTTTATCCTCGTTCTGGAAGTTTTTGTGACCGCCCCTGTGCTTACCGGAGACGTCTTCCCCTAGGGCGGATGGCCACGCTGCCGTAACTCCTCCTCCAACCCCTTGGGACTTGGGGCACACGTGCTCATCCAGTGTCTTTTTGTTTTGTTTTGCTTGGTGTTCTGTTATTTTAAGAGAGAGAGAGATTTTTTTTGCCATGGGGCACATGCATTCACCAGAGAGACAGAAGGCAAGAAATCACCCCCCCGGGGGTGGGGGCATGGGCCCGACACAAGGGGGGCATGGCCCCGCCACAATCCCTTCTCCTCCACCTTCTCCTGGGATTTTGGGCATGCATGCACATGCGCCTGGCATGAGTTTCAAGTCACCAGGTCTGGGATGTGAACTGCAGTCGTCCACGTGGGAGTCCGGCAACGCAAGCATTAAGCGGTCTGCAGGTCCCACCAGGCGTGTTTTTTAAGCCACCGGTCCAAGGACCTGAACTCAGAGCGGTTGGCCACGTGGGACCCGGCGCCTTAACCACTACCAGCCGGCGAGCACCAAGCATGGGGTTTCTCTAAAGACGGCTGTGGGGCCCACTCATGGCCCAGGGGTCACGGCTGCTTGGACTCCACACGTCCACCGCGGTTTAAATGCCCCACCGGGTCAGCCTGAGACGGGCTGGAGCCTGGAGGAAAGCCTCGGGGCGTGCAGACCCTACGGGGTACCTCTCTCACATGCTCATGGTCTATCATGACTAAAGGAACAAAGATCGAAAAAGCAAGCAGCTGGGGGCCCGGCAGGTGTCATAGTGTTTAAGGCACTAGACTCCCACATGGCTGACCACAGTTCAAGTCCCAAACCCAGCGGCTTGAAACTTGGCGGGGACCTGTGCTTACGTGGCCAAAATCCCAAGAGGAGAATGGAGAAGGGACTACGCGTGGCCATCCGCCTGGCGAATGC